GGTATAGATCCTTTACCTCTTTGGTTAGGTTTATTCCTAGGGTATCTTACGCTTTTGAATGGAATTGTAAATGGGACTGATTCCTTAATTTCTCTTTCTTCAGTCTATTGTTAGTCTATAGAAATGCCACTGATTTTGTATTCTGCCACACTGCCGAACTGCTGTATGAGTTCTAGCAATCTTGGAGTGGGGCCTTTGGGTTTTCTATGTACAGCATCATGTCATCTGTGAAGAGGGAGAGTTTGACTTCTTCTTTGCCAATTTGAAGGCCTTTTATTTCTTTTTGTTGTCTGATTGCTGAGGCTAGGACTTCACTGTTGAATAGCAGTGGTGAGAGTGGACATCCCTGTCGTGTTCCTGATCTTAGAGGAAAGGCTCTCAGTGTTTCCCCATTGAGAATGATATTTGCCATGGGCTTTTCATAGATGGCTTTTAAGATATTGAGGAATGCTCCCTCTATCCCTACACTCTGAAGAGTTTTGATCAGGAATGGATGCTCTATTTTGTCAAATGCTTTCTCTGCATCTATTGAGAGGATCACATGGTTCTTGTTTTTTCTCTTGTTGATATGATCTATCATGTTGATTGCTTTACGAGTGTTGAACCAGTCTTGCATCCTGGGGATAAATCCCACTTGGTCCTGGTGAAAAATTTTCTTAATGTACTGTTGGATCCTATTGGCTAGTATCTTTTTTTAAAAAAATATTTTATTTATTTATTAATGAGAGACAGAGAGAGAGAGAGAGGCAGGGACACAGGCAGAGGGAGAAGCAGGCTCCATGCAGGGAGCCCGATGTGGGAATCGATCCTGGGTCTCCAGGATCGCACCCTGGGCTGAAGGCGGTGCTAAACCGCTGAGCCGCCCGGGCTACCCTATTGGCTAGTATCTTTTTTTTTTTTTTATTGGCTAGTATCTTGTTGAGAATTTTTGCATCTGTGTTTATCAGGGGTATTGGTCTAATTCTCCTTTTTGGTGGGGTCTTTGTCTGGTTTTGGAATTAAGGTGATGCTGGCCTCATAAAATGAGTTTGGAAGTATTCCATCCCTTTCTATCTTTCGGAACAGCTTTAGTAGAATAGGTATTGTTTCTTCTTTAAACGTTTGATAAAATTCCCCTGGGAAGCCATCTGGCCCTGGACTTTTCTGTCTTGGGAGGTTTCTGATGACTGCTTCAATTTCCTCCCTGGTTATTGGCCTGTTCAGGTTTTCTATTTCTTCCTGTTCCAGTTTTGGTAATTTGTGGTTTTCCAGAAATGCATCCATTTCTTCTAGATTGCCTAATTTATTGGTGTATATATTGGCATAATACGTTTTTAAAGGGATGTCCACTCTCCCCACTTTTATTCAACATAGAACTGGAAATACTAGCCACAGCACTCAGACAACAAAAAGAAAAGGCACTCAGATTGGTAAGGAAAAAGTCAAACTTTCACTATATACAGATAACATGACTCTCCATGTAAAATACCTGAAACACTCCACCAAAAACTGCTAGAACTGATACATGAAATTAGTAATGTCATAGGACACAAAATCAATGTAGAGAATTGTTGCATTTCTATACACCATTAATGAACAGCAGAAAAAGAAATTAAGAATGTTTTCTTTCCATTTCCAGTTGCATAAAAAACCTAGGAATAAACCTAGCAAATAAGGTGAAAGACCTGTGCTCTGAAAACTATAAAACACTGATGAAAGAGGGACACCTGGGTGGCTCAGTTAGGTATCTGATTTTTTATTTTAGTCCAGGTCATGATCTCAGGTCCTGGGATTAAGCACTGTGTAGGGCTCTGTGCTCAGTAGGGTATCTGTTTGAGGATTCTCCTTCTCCCTTTTCCCCTTCCCCTGCTTGCACATGCTCTCTCTAAAATACATAAATAAATCTCTTTTTAAAAAAACAAAAACACTGACGAAAGAAATTGAAGACAATGGGGAAGATATTTCTTACCTCCGTATGACTGGAGGAACAAATACTGTTAAAATGTCTATGATGCCCAAAGCAATCTACAGATTGTTATCTCAATCAAAATACCAACAGCATTTTTCACAGAGCTAGAACAAACAATCCTAAAATTTGTATAGCACCGACCCCAAATAGCCAAAGCAGTTTTGGGGGGAAAAAAAAGAAAAAAAAAAAGCAAAGTAGGAGGCATCAGAACTCTGGACTTCAAGTTATTATTACAAAGCTGTAGTAATCAAAACAGTATGGTACTGGCATATAAAAAAGACACACAGGGCAGCCCAGGTGGTGCAGCGGTTTAGCGCCACCTGCAGCCCAGGGTGTGATCCTGGGGACCCAGGATCGAGTCCCACATCAGGCTCCTTGCATGGAGCCTGCTTCTCCCTCTCTCTCTATCGCTCATGAATAAATAAATTAATTAAAAATAAATAAATAAATAAAAAAGACACACAGATCAATAAAACAGAATAGAAAATCCAGAAATAAACCCACACGTATATGGACAATCTTTGACAAAGCAGGAAATAATATCCAATATGAAAAAAATCTCTTCAACAAATGGTGCTAGGAAAGTGGATAGAGATGTGCAAAAGACAAAAAAAAAAAACTGGACAACTCTCTTATACCATACACAAAAATAAATTCAAAATGGGTTAAGGACTAAAATGTGAGACATGAAACTATCAAAATCCTGGACAAGAACACTGGGAGTAACTTCTCTGATATCAGCCAAAGCAAGTTTTTTTTCTAGAGAGGTCTCCTGAGGCAAGAGAAATAAAAGCAAAAATAAACTCTTGGGACTACATAAAAATAAAAAGCTTCTGCACAGCAAAGGAAACAATCAACAAAACTAAAAGGCAACCTACAGAATGGGAGAAAGTATTTGCAAATGACATATCTGAAGGGTTAGTATCCCAAGAACTTATATAAAGAACTTATAAAACTCAACATCCAAAAATCAAATAATACAATTATAAAATGGGCAGAAGACATGAAGAGACATTTTTCCAAGAAAAACATACAGATGTCCAACAGACATGTGAAAAGATGCTCATCATCACTTTGCATCAGGAAAATGCAAATCAAAACTACAATGATATAACATCTTACACTTGTCAGAATAGCTAAAATCAGCAACACAAGAAGCATAGGTGATGCGGTTTGGTGAGAATATGGAGAAAAGGGAACCCTTGGCACTGTTGGTAGAAACGCAAACTGGTACAGCCATTGTGGAAGATAGTATGGAGGTTCTTTGAAAAGTTAAAACTAGAGCTAGCCTAGTTCTAATCCAGCAATCGCACTATTGGGTATTTACCCAAAGAATACAAAAACAGTAATTCAAAGGAATACAAGCACCCCCATGTTCATATAACAGCATTATTTACATTAGCCAAGATATGGAAAGCAGCCCAAGTGTCCATCTACAGATGAACGGATAAAGAAGATGTGGCATGCATATCTGTCTATATACATAAAACATGTAAAATGGAATACTGCTCAGCCATAAAAAAGGACAAAATATTTCCATTTGCAAGGACATGGACGGACCTAGAGGGTATCATGCTAAGTGAAGTAACTCAGAGAAAGACAAATACCATATGATTTCACTTATATGTGGAATTTAAGAAAAAAAATGATCAAGGGGGGGAGAGACAAATCAAGAAACACTCTTAATTATAGAGAAAAAAACCTGATGGCTACCAGAGGGGAAGAGGGAGGATAGGTTAAATGATGGGGATTAAGGCATACTTGTGATGAGCACAGGGCACTGCATGGAAGTGTTTAATCACTGTGTTATTATACACCTGAAACTAATGTAACATTGTATATTAACTCACTGGAATTAAACTAAAAGCTTAGGGGTGCCTGGGTGGCTCAGTTAAGTGTCCAATTCTTTTTTTTTTTTTTTTTAAGATTTATTTATTCATGAGAGACACAGAGAGAACGAGAGGCAGAGACACAGGCAGAGGGAGAAGCAGGCTCCATGCAGGAGGCCCGACGTGGGACTCGATCCCGGGTCTCCAGAATCACGTCCTGGGCCAAAGGCAGGCGCTAAACTGCTGAGCCACCCAGGGATTCCCCCATAAGTGTCCAACTCTTGATCTCAGCTCAAATCATGAACTCAGGGTTGGGAGATTGAGCCCCACGTACTTAGGATTCTCTTTCCCTTACCTCCCCCACCCAAAAAAAATGCTTAAAAAAAAATAAAAAGCAAACCCCTGACCATCTAAGAAGCCTGTATGTGCTGATCCTTGCCAATCTCGTCCTTGGCTCTCCTATTCACCAGCCACAGGGACCTACTTTATGCTCTTGGAAAATTTAATCCTTCCCATTTCAAAACCTTCATACAGGCTAAAAGCCCCTTCTTCCCAGATCCCTCTATCTGGTTAACAACTCCTCCTAACTTCTTTGGGAAAAACCTTTCTTAACTTCCAGACTAGGTCAGGTCTCCTGATCATGCTCCGTTTGCCTCTCACCAAAGAAAAAAAATCTGCTTGGTAATTACACTCATAATGATCTTCACTATGTCTTAGGCAGTAACATTCTGAGGTAAGGAACTGTTTTTTGATTACCACCGAATCCCTGGGAATCAACACCAAGTATAATGCCTGGTTCCATTTTAGGAGCTTAAAACTTGTACTGAATAAATAAATACAAGTTCAGAGGAGGGTTGGGGAAACAGTAGCTATTAATCTAGTTAGTACTTCTCTGTAACACTTAGCACATCCTGCCCAGCATGCTTATTAATATTTAATATTTCCTTTCTTGCTCGATTTTTAGTTCTCTTTTGTACAACTCTGAATGTTCCACTGCCTCCAATGATAGTGGGGTTCAGAGAAGATGCTCCAGGCTGAGGAAATTGTATGAAATTGAAGGGAAGGTTAAGTGGCCTGAATAGAAAGAGAAGGGTGAACTCTACCTGGAGGGCAGCTGTGGCCAGAGGTAAGAACAGGTTTCTTGCCCTAATTTTTCCTTCTTAGGGGCATTGGAGTTGACCTCTCTTTGTGGGGATGGGAGGATTTAAAAGGACAACACTTACTTGTTCCCATGAAGAAATCATATGACGTTCAGCAGGTGGTTTTTCTATGATAGTCACCTCTGTCACACCTGGGGAAGATTCTGGAAGAGAAAAAGAGAACCCGTAGAGTTGCAATGGGCCTGCTCTCACATATTTCAATACTAGAGGCTGTTGATGAGTATCTAGGGAATATCAGTCAGATTCCTCCAAACAGTATTTATGATTCCTGTGATAAAAACAGGAAGAACTGGTCAGTCCTTCACAGACACTCAGTCCCACACCCTAGGACCACACATTCAACCTGGTAGAAAGGGCACTGTAACACCCCCTACACTCAGTCACTGCTCAGCACTTCAGTTGTTGGAAAAAATCAGAGATTCAACATTCCTAGTGATTTTATACTGAACTTCTCACTTATGACATAGTCAAAAAGAAGGAATAGCACCAGAAGCTAGAAAGAGACATGGCAGGTTCTTCTCGTCCAGGTTTCAGAATAAGCATGACACTATCAACCCTTTGGTTTTGGGCTTTTGGCCTCTAAAACTGTGAGAACAAATCTGTTGTTCTGAGTTACACGGTTTGTGGTACATTTTATGGCAGCCCTAGCAAACTAATATAAATCCTATCTACTTTTCTGTGACACTATGCAGATTATTCCCATTGACACCGCTCTGTTTTAGGACATGGTCACTGCAAGTGTAGATGCAAATTAAAGCCACAAACTCTGTGCTTTGATCCATCCTTAGCATACTACCAGAGGGCCCTCTCCATACCTAGGCTTGTTTCCTATCTGATCTATTCGGTTCTCCATGTGATTTCTGGAGGATAAGGCCCTTCTATATCTGTCTGGTCTTATCTTCTTCCACTCAGGAAACTGAAACACCCTTTGTTCCAGGTGTTTCAGCTTCCTCATTGTCTCCACCTGTGTGCCACACCCCTCCAGAACTAAATCTATACTCATCTTTGATTATGCTGTATTCCTTTCCCATTATAATATATACCCAAATGTGTCCACGTGTCTCATCTACCCAAATCCTACCTAGACTTCAAGGCTATGCTAAAGTTCTACCTCCTTCATGAAACCATTTCAGATGACTCTAGTTCACCATGATCTCTGCTCTTCCCGATATCTGAACCCATCACATGCAGGGTTGGGGCCACATATGTTTATACTTAATTATATTCTTTTTTTTTTTTTTTTGGTTTTTGATTTTTTAAGATTTTGTTTCTTTATTCATGAGAGACCAGAGAGAGAGAGAGGGGCAGAGACACAGGCAGAGGCTCCATGCAGGGTGCCTGACATGGGACTGGATCCCGGGTCTCCAGGATCACACCCTGGGCTGAAGGTGGCGCTAAACAGCTGAGCCACCCAGGCTGCCCCTCTATTTTGAACAATATTTTGGTTATTTACCATAAATAAATACTGTAAACAGGGAATGTATTGAAAATACTTTTTTAAATCTCTAAGAATAAAGCAAAGACTTCTAATCTAGTTTAATGTATAAAATGGTTTCTAGACCCAATCCCTCCAACATTTTTGTGGGGAGGCTTCCCCATACCAATAAGCAATTCTCGGATATCATGGTGTCCTACAAGGGGACAGATTATGAGTTCAGTCTCTAAGACTGCTACCCTCCCCACTTCAGACATCAGATACAAGTCTATGTTTTCACATGTGCTTCCTACCAACCTGCTACAGATTGGGGGTTCTCAAGATCCCCTCTCCTTGTACTTCAGATACTAGTCAAAAGCCGAGGCTATCACCTGTAGTTCTGACTGGCTATAAATCAGGAGGTTAAGACTACCTCCTCAGGCTCCATTAATTTGCAGGAGTGGCTCACAGAATTCAGAGAAACAGTTTACTTACTTGATTACTGGTTTATTATAAAAGAATATAACACAGGGATAGCCAGATGGAAGAGATGCTTAGAACAAGGTATGTGGGAAGGGACACAAAGCTTCCATGCCCACTCCAGGCAGGCCACTCTCCCCCACACCAACATAGCATCAACCTGGAAGTTTTTGGGTCTTTATGGAACTTCATTACATAGGCACAACTGATGAAATCATTGACCACTGAGGACTGATTTAACCCTTCAGATCCTTTTCCTTTCCTAAAGATCAGGGGACGGGACTGAAAGTACCAACCCTCTAATCACATAGTTGGACCACTGGCAACCAGCCCTCATCCTTAAGTGCTTTACAAAAGTCACCTCATTAACATAATGGAAGATCTTTACTACTTTCAACACTTGGGAAATTCCAAGGGTTTTGGGAGCTGTGAGCCAGGAACTGTGGACTAAGACAAAATACACAGTTGACCCTTGAACAGTATGGATTTGAACTGCATGGGTCCATTTGAACACCTGTTTTTTTCCCCAATAAATACAGTACTGTAAATGTATTTTCTTTTTCTTATAATTTTCTTAATATTTTTTTCTCTATTTCATTATGGTAATACAGAATACAATACATACAACATATAAAATAATGTGTTAATCAACTTTATGTCATTAGTAAGATTTCTGATCAACAGACTATTAGTTACGTTTTGGGGGAATTAAAAGTCATATACAGATTTTCTACTGCACTGTTGGTGGGGGGCAGTTAGCAGCCCTAATCCTTTGTTCAAGAGTCAGCTGACATCTGAGTGAGCAAATATATATTTCTTATAAGTCAGAATATCACAATGTGGCTCACTGATTCTATAATCATGTTAGTGTCCTTTCTATGCATCATAAAATTTCCTCCAAGTTGTCACAAAGTTCAGATCTTGAGATGTAGCAACAGCTCAAGATAGAAGGCAAAGTATTCTGGATTCCACATATTCTAATCTTGGTTTATACATTCACTAGTTGTGTGACCTGAGATGAGTCTTCACCTTTCTTAGCATTCAGAGACACAATAATTATATTTCCCTGATAAAGGAAGCAGAAGCAGCAAAGGTAAAGGTGCTTTGGAAAAGTAAAAAAGTATACTCATTTTTTTTTTTCTGCCTTCTGTTCAATGTTCTAAGATATTGGGAACCATGGTACTATGGTGGAAAAACACCATGAAGGAATGCCTGGGTGGCTCAGTCGGTAAAGTGTGTGCCTTCTTCTCAGGTCATGATCCCGGGGATTCTGGGATCCAGCCCTGCGTTGGTTGGGCTCCATGCTCAGTGGAGAGGCTGCTTCACCTTTTCTCTCTCTCCCTGCTTGTGCTCTTGGTCTCTCTCTCAAAACAACAAAAATCTTAAAAACAAAAACAAAAACAAAAAAACCCCAAAACCAAACAAACATCATGAGCTTCAAGCTGTTAGACTTGGGCTAAGTCCTTGCTACTCCCTTGACTAGTTAGGATGGAAGATGCTGTCCATGTCTTCAGGGTTCCATGTGGCATTGTTCCACCAAAGCTAAGACAGTGAATAGTAAATGTTATTCACATTTTATAGAAAGGACATTCAGGTTGAGAGGGGCTAGGTCACTCCAAGTAGCTAGGCTGACTCCAAACATGGGTCTACTTAAGAGTTTATGTCTGTCCTTCAGCAAAGCCCTCTAGCAACTATCCTATGCAAATATAGAGCGTAGGTTCAATCAGTCTTAGCTGCCTACTATACCCACTGTTGTAGGACAGAACAATACAGAATTCTTTGTCAATGATCCACCGGTTGCATAATGATGTCATCTGACTACATCCACAGGGCAGTCTAGTATCTAGCGTTGCTGGAGGACACACAATATAAGTACCGGACATTAAGCTTTTGGTTGCCAACCCTTCCATTTCAAATACATCCATCTTAAATAAACAAATTGCCAGTCTGTGACACAGCTACTAGCTAAACAACGAGGAACCAGGTCACTGCATCTGTGAAGTTCTCCTTTTTAAAAGCCCTGAGTAACTTGGGGAACTGTTTGATGGCCTGACTGACCCCTGCTTTTCCCTCTCCTGCACCTGAATTCCCACGTTTAAGTTTTACATTCACCAAAAAAGAGTGGTTCTGTGAAACCCTAGCCACCCCATCCTTGGATACTAATAAAGCAGAGACCCAGGTCTGTTCCTCTTCTCCCTCACGTGGCTGTGGGGCCCTCAGGCATGGCATGCACCCTCTTGGACTTTTGAGTAATATATCCTTTTTTTAAAGTTCCCTGATGGTTGTTACTGAGGTGCATCTTGCAATCACTGTAAGAACCACAAGGGCCAGCCCAGCCCAGCTACAACATTGGCTCCAGTCAGGAATATGTCTGTGGGGGCTCATCACCAACTACATATGCTCAGGTGAGTGCCTCAGGCTTCCAAGCCAATAGCATCACTGTCAATAGGCTGAGATGGAAAAGTGCACAACAGTTCTGTGCATAATAGGCCCATGTGTAGGGGCTACAGGCTCATACAAAACTGTTGTGATGCTACTACAGATAAAGCTGCACAATGGAATAAACGACATTGAGTTTAAAATGGAATCAGGAGGTCAGAAGGGGGAGCCCAAGTGCTGTAGCACTCTATCAATTGCATACCTCAACAGGAAGAGAGTTACCTTGCATTCCCAACAGGTCCAAGCCTGCTTTACCACTTCAGCAGGAGGAAGAAAGAATTTCTCCTTGCCCAGCAACAACTCAGACAAATGAGAAACCACCATCACCCTGCACTCTCACTTTCCTCCAATAGACCTCCTTCAAAGCAACCCCTCCCAACTCCCTCCTTTTTCTCTATAAAGTAACGTGTCTTATCTTTGATTTCTGGACTCACCTATTGTTTGCCAGAGGTTGTGTGTCCAGAATTGCAATTCTCTGTTATCCCCTCCCCCCAAAAAACAACTAAAAAAACAAACACACAAACAAACAAAAAACACAAAAACCACCAACTATTGTGCTGATAAAATAACTGGCTATTTTACTTTTAGGGCTAACAAGGACATATGACACTTTGAACACATTCAAGACAGGTCAACTGGTCAACGTGCTGACTTTAAAAACCTTCCTATAATAAACTGTTTAGGAAGTACTAACTGTAGGGACTTTGTTACCCAAAATAAACAGCAGTGGTGGGGAGGGGGTACTGGGGATGAAGAAGGGGAGATAGAAAATAAGTCTCATTTGTATAATGCTCTATTTCAGGGAATTGG